TAGGCATCTTCCTTCTTGGTCTAGACCAAAACATTATTGGTGTCGCCATTCCGCGAATCACTACTGATTTCAAGTCGCTAGATGACATTGCTTGGTACGGCTCTGCATATTTGCTGACAATAACAGCCTTCCAGCCATTTTTCGGGAGCCTCTACAAATATTTCGATGCCAAATCTGTCTATCTGGTGTCTCTTGTTCTATTTGAAGGTAAAAACATTTGATGTCTTTATGAGTGTCAGTTCGAACTCTCTGCTAATATCTATACATTGGGATCGGTGATTTGTGCCTCTGCAAAGCAGTCCGATGTTCTCATATTCGGCAGAGCATTCTTAGGCTTTGGGGCTGCTGGTCTGCTTCAAGGTGCTTTGGCTATCATAGGATATGTCGTTCGCTTGGAGAAGTTGCCGCTTTTCCAAGGCATTGTTGTCAGTTCTTTAGGCATCAGCGTTTCGGTCGGTCCTGTGCTTGGAGGTGTCCTCACTGACCGCGTAGGTTGGCGTACGTACTCGTCTCCATCTCCCGATTCTAGCAAGCACTAACTAAAGCATTCTTGTAGGATGGTGCTTCTGGATGTAGGTGGCTTAAATCAATCTACCGGATTAGCTGATTCTGATGGCATGCTTCATAGTAACGTCCCTATTGGAGTAGTTATCGTCTTCGCCATATTTTTCTTCGTCCACATTGAGCAGTCAGCCGGCCAGGTTGATCACAACCTTCCTCTGAGAACTAAACTGCAGCAGATGGACGCCATAGGAACACTTCTGTTTCTTGGTGCCGTTGTTTCTTTAATCCTAGTGCTGCAGTGGGGAGGCCAGGTTTATCCCTGGAACGATTCGAAATGCATCGGCCTATTCGTCAGTTTCGGCACCATCTCTATCGTTTTTTGCTTCTGGGAATGGAAGCAAGGAGAGACAGCCATACTCCCATTCCGTATTCTAAAGAAGCGCTCTATCTATATGGGTGCACTCGTTCTTTTTGCATTGGGCATGTCAAGTCTTGCGGTATGTTCTTGCACACCTGTCCCTGGCAATCTCGCCTTCAGTTGCCATTTAGACTGCTACTTACATGACACCCATTTCCACAGTACGCATATTATCTGCCAATTTATTTTCAGTCTGTTCAAGGTGTGTCCACTACTCAGAGCGGAGCTCGGTTCATTGCTATTGTACTGCCGCAAATCGTGGGCCTTGTTATTGTGGGAGCCATTGTCACTCAATGGGGCTACTATGTAAGTTGATTATCACTGAAGCCAATTCGAAAAACTAAAGTCACGCGAAGGTTCCATACATGATTCTTGGAGTAATAGTCACCAGCATCGGTGCCGGCCTGCTCACGACCATCGGTGTCTCTACGCCGACTGTTAGATGGGCCGCGTATATGGTCATCAATGGCCTCGGGATTGGAATGGCTCAACAGCTACCGTACACTGCTCTCCAGGCCGTGCTCGAGTGAGTAGTGTCATGTCCGTCTGCTGAACTACCGTCTTATGATGTGATATACAGGCCGGTTGATGTACCTACTGGTAATGGTATGATATGTCTAAAAAACCTCTGGAGATATTCGCTCACGGCTGCAGCAATTGCTGTGTTTTCGTATCAACTAGGCGGGTGAGACGCCTTTGCAACTTGAATTAAAACTTGATATACGACGGCTAACCGAAGTCAGCGCGCTATCGGTTGCAATTGGCCAAAACCTACTCCTCAACAAACTGAAGATTACGGTTCCGAGACATACAGACAAGATTACTGCACAGGCCGTTATTGAGGTTGGCGCCACTGGCCTTACTCACCTAACTAGCGACCCGAAAGTCCTTTCCGCTCTACGGCTCGCATACGCAGAAGCAGTGCGGGATCCTCTAATCCTCGCTCTTGCTGCCACACTCCTAGCGTTCCCGTTTGCATGCTGTATGGAGAGGCTCAATGTCAAAGTTGTGGCGGAGCAGAGACTTGAAGAAAGGCATCAGATGGAAGAACTTAACACCGAGAGAACAGATTTGGCGATTCTACCGGCACAAGACCTGGAGCTCGCTGGAAAGGAACCTTCGAAAGTGGAGAGCCGAAAGCTATGACATTTGATGGAGCCTTTATAAGATAGAACAGCCTTATTCAGCCCCTTTAGTATTTGAAATTGCGTCCATGATGTAAAATAGTCTCCAGCTTATTATATCGTTCCTGGTGTGATTAGCAAAAACACATTTTTGCATGTCGAAGTTACTGTACCGTAATGATGCAGTATATCATACTTGTCTCAAATACTTATATTACTGTAATAGCTAAGCAGGACACTCTTCCGTACATCCGGAAACCGCTTCATTATGGAATTCCCAAAGGTCTGTAGTTGATCAACTTGTCCTTATTGGGCACGCATCCTGAACAAGAAGAGAGACGACTCAGGAGATAATCGGGATATGCCTTTGCTAAACGAGTGATCTGTATAAATGACTACGATTACCTGGTGAAGGAGTCAGTTCAGCGGAATACGGCCGTAGTATAGAAAATGTTAAAATAATGCTTATGCTCCCCAAGAAAACATTAAAGATCCTTGGATGCAGTTAAATAGACTCGCAGGATGTTTCACTATATGAATTACTGTGGTAGAGCATAATAACTAAGATGCCACTACTAAAAGCAAAAGCCAGTATTGTTGCCAGTGCTCAAAAATAACATTATAGGCTTGCTGATATTAGGGAAGCTCCTAGCAGTCAGTCAAAATATTTATCACCCGCTCATCAATATCTGCCATTCCAACTAGGAAGACTGTTGGGATTACGCAGCGTGTGTACAGAACTACTTCGGGCTCCACTCGCGTCCGTTCGACCGTGTTGAGAAAGCGGCGAGGCGGCGAGGTGGCAATGTCGGGGCAGCGGCAACATAAACCGCAAAAGTGGATCCCCAAAACAACAGACCTTCTAATCTCATTCAATTTCGGAGCTACAATACCCAAAGCTACCCAATTCAGGACATTTAGCAGGACCATTGCATCCGAGCCAAACATTATGTATTCATCGCTAGTGTTTTCCAGCCAAATATAAACGTGAGTCTTGCGCGATGACGGCTATGGTACTTCCCCCCCTTTCTTTTTCTTCATGGTTTTATAAACTTCTGTTTACTTAACCCGTGCCTAGCTACTCGTCATGTATTCTCTGATTGTGCCTGGTCTGCTTTTTGGCGCTGCCGTTGCTCAGCAGGCGGCCTGGGGCCAATGCGGAGGACAGGGCTATACTGGCGCAACCACCTGCGTTGGCGGTTATTCGTGCGTGTCGGTTAATGTTTGGTACTCCCAGTGTCAGCCCGGATCAACACCTTCGTCGATGACCACTACGACTAAGACTGCGGCAACACCTACTACGAGCTATGGGTCTGGGACTGGCACTGCGGCTGTGAGGTATCTTGGTCGGGTTAATCCAGCGACGAAGGAATTGACTTGGCCAGGTACAGGCCTATCATTCACGTTCACCGGAACTTCTGCCACCATTGGTATCGTCTCCATCAGCGGTGCCAATAGCGTTGATCTGACCGTTGATGGCGGGGAGCCCACGGTCATCTCGAATGTGGCGGGCACTTCAATCGCCACTCCTGCGGGCTTATCGTATGGGAGGCATACAGTCACTCTGCGCAAGCGTTCCGAGACGGAGCTTGGGACGTTCATCATCGGCAATGTCACCACTGACGGCGCACTGGCCGTCGACATGGCTCCGACACGTCAGATCGAGATCATTGGGGACTCGATTAGTGTAGGCTATGGTCTTGACGGCACGTTACCGTGCACGAATACTGCTGCTCTCGAGGATAATCCCAAGACGTATGGGGCCTTGGCGGCGCAAGCCCTCGGTGCAGACTACAGCGTCGTTGCTTGGAGCGGCAAAGGGCTGGTGCGCAACATCGCAACCGGATCTACAGACACGAGCCCATTGGTTCCCGAACTGTACACGCGCTACGGAGCCAATGACGCCGATAATAGCTATACGTTTCCTGCCTCCTGGAAACCCAATGCCGTGGTCATCAATCTCGGAACTAATGACTTTAGTTATTTGGCGTACACATCTTCCGGCACGGCCTATAATGCCCGTGCCCCTCTCGACCCCGCTACCTACACGGCTGGCATCGTCAGTTTCGTTCAGAGTATTCAGCGTCACTACCCCGATGCGCACTTCTTCCTGCTCACATCTCCCATGCTCAGCGACACCTTCCCCACGGCGGCCGATGCACAAAAGACAACTCAGACCAAGGCCATCCAGAACGCGATCACGCAGCTCATGAGCACCAAGGTCCACTTTGTCGACTGGCCCACCCAGGGGTCAGACGTCGGTTGCGATTATCATCCCAATGCAGCCACGCATGCAGCAGAAGGTAAAGTCCTAGCTTCCGCCATCAGCAGCGCGCTAGGGTGGTGAGGCCGCGAAAAGGGAAGTAAGACTGAATCATGTCTGTAAAGAATAGTAGCGCCAGCTTCCTCTTCGGTCTTTTTGCCTAAGAGGTTCGCCAGTGTCTAATTCATCCTTCGGAAAAATTATTGCATCAAGTTCGTATCTATGTATACCGAATAAAGACAAGAATCATGCATCGGCGTGTAATCGGCCCTTAGGGTAGTTCAGAGTGGAGTGCACGAAGTGTAATAACGACGATAGAACTGTCACGTGAACATCGCTTGAGAAGCATTGACCAAAAATTCGCCGCTTGATTGGTGGACAGCACTGGTCAATCGCCACCAATCATAAGCACACCACCTATATTACATTAGTGGGTGAGGGTTAGGCGAAGGACAAGACCAAACCTCAGTCAATATTGCTTGTGTTAGTTAGTGTTCTGCTCGAGAAGCGACTCGATGCGTTTTCCCAGGCTCCTGGTTTCTCGCTGATTTTTCTTTTTTGACTTTGCATAATTCATCGCAAGTAGCATTACCCCTCTCTTCTCTCCCAGCCTAATCACAGTTTAAGCGAAGGTTATCGATAAGGTTACGGATAATTATATGGGGGCATGTGATGTAAAAAATAGAAGTAACTCCCCCGGACAGGCTTGAACTGTCAACCTCCTGATGATCTGTTTAATAACAGTCAGACGCGCTAGCCAATTGCGCCACGGAGGAAGCTTGATTCATTCTTAAGTAACTGATCTCATTAAACCCGAAAGGCTTGCCAAAATGTGTAACCCATTAACCTAGACCGGCTCGTCATAATTACTTAGAGAAAGGACTTCGCTGGAGCTTCTTTCGACATTGATAAACTATTCTCCATACCGCTGGGCTACTGCTAATAGCTGCTAGCTTACGTGCATAGAATAGAACCTACTATAATTTTCCCAGTAGATAATCGAATGGGCCCAGACGTATCATAATTACAAGATCGAGAATACCATAAAGGGGCAACAAAGCGAAAGGCAGGCAAACATTGTTGCTATCCGACAGGAAGTGGATGATCAGAGAAGACGAAAAGCGATCAGACGAGGCAACTACAATACCTCGAGAAGAACTTGGGAATGGTATTAGAGCTAAGCATAAATCAAATTAATTGCCATTCTATTAATAGCATATCTACAACCAGTTTTTGTTTCAATGATTCTGCTTTATCTGTAGGGCTATATCTCGCGGAGTGACTGATTGCACGAGTCTTTTCACCACGCGCTCTTACACTGCGTTTAGCTTGGACGATTATTAGGAAAGCTATCCTTCCCCTGAACTATCTTGAAGTATCAACCTGGGAGGCTTGCTCTGTAGCACGCACTCTTGACGTTAGACACTATCAATGAGATCGTATACCATCACATTCTGAAAGTGTACCAATTAGACGTGTGATGATTAGAGCTTTGAGTAGCTCATTGCTCAAAAGATGTGGGGAAAAGCTAAAAGTTCTGTAGGCTACAGATGTGTACTCAACCCTGCTGGATTGATAGGATATATATTAGCGTACACTGGTCTGCTTTCCGGTATTCTATCACGGCTTCCTTGTGCGTTGTCAAATATCTGTTGTTTCACCAGGTTTCTCTGGAATTTTATCAAATCCTCCTTGGACTTAGCCAAATTTCTTTGGTGATCGACTAAGTCTGTCTGGTATTCCACTAGATCCTTCCGTTAGCTTATCATATCTGGTATCCCATTCGACTTCTTGTGGTTTTCCGACATATTTCTCAGCCAGTGACTCTTCTACTTTCTGGTCGACTATGCTCAGCTAGAGCTCTATACATTGTGCTAAGGTTGAGTATATTATACTTATAGCGAGCATACTTGCAGCTAAAATTATTGCGACTGGAGCACAAGCTTTCTGACTTATGATTAATTATAATTAAAATGCAGATTAATGTACGAGGATGTGTCGATTTGCTGAGAACTGTTCATTAACGGTAATAGATGGTATCATAATTAGTTCTTCTAGAGTTAGAGGTACAGAGATGAGAGGAAGTGTATTGAATAGAAGCCAGGAAGAATAACGCCAAAACTGACCAAAGATTCTTAGTTACGCAGGAGGCTCATCTGATCCCTATGAACTTTGAAACCAAAAACCCGAGCATAACAAGAAAATTACACCCTTTCAAGGGATCGAATCATGAAATCCCGAATGGGCAATTTCACCCGAAACTCTTAGGTCGGAAATACGCGACAGGAGCCTGGCGAGCCTGTGAGGCTGTACTGGGAGGATCACTTCAGTCAATTACCTATGTGCTTCTGTGGCTCACTTATTAGATCGCTCCTACTAGTGTGGCTGACAAGCCCTACCGCACATAATTGCTGCATTATAAATCACCCAAGCAAGCCATCTTAGAGAAGATTGAATACAACACATCAACCACTAAATCTGACAGAAACCCGTGCGCCCCAAGATGTAGCAATTCTCCCCTGCTGATCGCGCTATTTCACATGAACTTGAAGTGAGATGGCCATGAAGCTGCTAATTACCCCGAATTTTTCGGAAAGGCATTCAAGCTCGATTCGACTTAAACGCTATACGAGCTCGCGTCGGCTAGAGCTTACAAATCAGAGAACATGCTCTGACAGTACTATACCTACACATTGCGCAGCTCCATTTCTAATTTGTGCGAATCTTTCCGTTTGGCACACAAGGTAGTCAAGGGTTGGATACCGAAGAACGGGCACGGAATAACAACCGGACTCCGTGGCTTCAAAAGGAGACGATGTTGAGTAAACATAATTCTATAATGATAGTTGGATTGGCGCATAGTAATCATGAATTCATCAACCTCGGCAGCAGATTTACAAATCCATTTATTAGCTGCTACTCTCAATGAAATTACCTAGGACTATGCATGCAGTTATGTAGGGGGGTATCAAGCCCATGAATATAAAAAGGAGCGTCCTTATAATTAAAAGACATAATAAGTATTACAGTCCACATCGCTTCATTGTCGATAGCATTTGCGCTTGACTAGCATCTTAATTCTTCTTGACACAATTGATACGAAGCCTCGACAATGTCAGATATCACGGCTCCCGTGTTAGTTACTTCAGCGGCGGGCCATGTGGGGGGAGTCGGGCGGCGCGTCGTAACGATGTTGCGCGAGTTAGGCGTGCCTGTTCGCGCTGCGGTCCGTCAGGAGGATGAGCGCACGGCGCAACTTCATGCCCTAGGTGCGGAGGTTGTGGTCGCCGACCTCACGAAAATGGAAGAGGTCTTCCCCATCGTCCAGGGCTGCCGACGCATCTACTTCAGCATGAGCCTCACCCCCCAGTACGTGGAGGCCACCACGGTGATGGCTATGGCTGCGCGGGCCGCGGGCAACGTCGAGCTCATCGTCAACATGTCCCAGCTCCCCGTCTCGTTTACATCCCCTACCGAAGTGGCCGAGTCGCCACAACAGCGATTGCACTACCTCAGCGAGGAGGTGCTCAATTGGTGCGGCGTGCCTGTTACACACCTGCGGCCCACTCTATTCCACCAGATCCCCTTACTCTGGGGCCTCTCAGCTGCATCCATCCAGAAGACTGGCAAGATCAGCCTGCCGTTCGGCCGCGGCCGCTCCTCTCCTATCGATAGCAATGACGTGGCAGAGGTCACGGTGAAGTGTCTGCTAGATCCCGCTAAGTATCAAGGCCGTGTCCTCGAGCTTACCGGCTCGAGTTCCATCGATATGGACGCTCTCGCAGCCGAGTATGCTGCCGCGTTGGGCCGCCCTATCGAGTACGAGGACGTGCCCCTCGATGCATTTTATGAGGGAGTGCTTCAAAAACTAGGAATCCCAGAGCATACCGCTAAGCACCTCCGCACGGTCTGCGCATTTTTCGCGGCAGGCAAATTTGACTGGAGCACGAAGACAGTTGAGGAGATCTTGGGCCGGCCAGCCTCGAGCATGTACGATACTCTTAAGGATGCACGTAATGGTTTCCCCATTCCGCCGAAGACTTCTTGAGCAGGAATTAGGAGGAGCATTCTCTAAACATGAATAACCCCCAATATATAACGCAATGGATGAAGATAGTTAGTTTAAAATATGTCTCTAGGTAACTAGCTACGTAGGTATTTAAGTACGGAAAGAAAACCCAAACCCCAGTATTCTTAGGTGACACTTTGCAGTGTTTAAAACGAGTTACCCCTTACGCACTTAACACAGCGCAGTAATGAGCTCTGACGCTTTTCCGTTTCTATATCAAGTTATCTTTCTCGCTATGCTTGCTTTGCGAATAACCTGCCTTGCTGCATCTAGGGTGTGGTAGCAGTGGGGCGATGTAGATGTAAGCAGGAACAGCGCCAGTTATCAGCCAATTATATGTTAGCCTACTAGCATTGGTATTAGAAGCTAGCAGCTACTTGAGCACTCGTGTATAGATAATGTTAGCTAAGCTCATTAGGTGTAGCTATGTGGTAAACTTAACTCTGCTGTAGAGAGTGGATGTGGTAACTATATGTACTGTAATTTTGGCCGTCTCTCTTGTTCCGTCCGTGTGTCATCCAATACTTTCCATAGGACTTTGCTCATAGTGTTATTAGGCTTCTGACGAGATTTTGAACCTGAGTGAGAAACCGTTTCTGAATGCTCAGGGATAGGCTTCCCTTACACTAGACAACACAGTGATCCCAGCCATGTACTCGAGGTCGCGTCAAGCGTTGGCCAAAACTCCCTTTAGAAAGCCCACTATGGATGGGCCTGCCCATGGCTAGAGATAAATTGAGGTATGTAAGACACTGCCATACTAAAAACTAATCAGCATAGTATCGTGATTATCCCAAATCTTCAGTCCCTGAGGTGCCTCGATCTTCATAATGCGAGTGCCAGCTCCAGGTCCCCAGTCTAACCAAGATTAGCGTATTAATCAGACGTAAAAGAACCATTTCAACAATAAATATAGGCTTGACGAGACCTCACTTTGGCAATGTCTCCCTCAAATAAATTAATGGGTAGTAATACACTATTCAGCTATTCGCAAGATACGTATATACTTACCCTCAGCAGTAGTAGAACATCGACTCAGCATAAGGGATGCTATCTGTATTAAGCTTAGGACGAACAGCTGTAACGCATATCAGGCGCCGGCAAGTCAAGGTCTGCAGCTACTCTTTCGAGTAGTTATAACAGAACATAAGTGACCCTTGTCTAGTTATTGGTGTGATGATGAAATTTCATGAGCATGATGTCTATTATCAAGTCTTCGTCGTAGTCTTTTTGCAACATCTGTCAGTAAAGCTTCCTTGCAGTGTTAATAATGCTGCTATGACCGGAAGATAGGGCAGCAAGGTAGGCATTGTCTTTCCATATGCACAGAGAGTGCCCTTGAGTTTGAGAGAATGCTGGTTGAGGGCTTGAAAGAAAGTTATGGTGTGTGTGTGTATGTGTTGTTGCTACCTAAAACGATAAGCGCACCCTATAACCCACCACTGAAACCTAGGTGTCTTTACGGCCTATGTCACTAGGCACCGCCCTTCCAAATTTTATCATTCTTGAGTATATCCATTCTTGGAGTCGTGTACTCTTCCGAGATGATGTCTCAATTATCGAGACGTATGATGCCGTTCCCCGGAGCACGGTAGGGGCATAAACTCTGTCTCTGACACCGACAGGTTTCTGTTAACAAAAATCCTGAGAGTATTATGGGTGAGTCCTGTCCTGCACGCTTTTTTGGTCGATAAGGCCAATCACCTT